GAGCACACACACGAGTGCCCAAGATCCAGAGGCCTGGAGGAACCACGGAATGGCCAGACTCTGTGGAGAGTGTTCATCTCTGTCTGTCTGATCTCACACATGCACACATTCATGTGTGTGCATGCTCTCATGAATAAAGGGAAAAATTTTGAAGCAAATAAAGTCTATTAAACAGAAAGAATAGCGTTAAAAAAAAATTAAGGAGCCTAACCAAAATAGGTTTGTGAAGTACACATTTCACCTCAGCATATAGATAAGATGAGGAATTTGCCTGTGATTGAAGGCTATCATGTTCCTTGGTAGACAGACCTACATCCAGTTCACTGTACAAATGAGTGAATGATGAGGCTCCCAAGTTGTGTATTATCAGACGGACATAATAATTGTCCTAAGAAAAGTTGCAAAGTATTTTTTTGTGTGAGAGCATAAAAATATTTCAGTAATGTAGTGGCGTGGTGGTTAAGGCACTGGACTCACACATGACTAACCGTGGTTCAAGTCCTGGACCTGGTGACTTGTTTTCTCACTTTCCTTGTCTCTCTTCTGGAAAAATTTTAAAATAACAGTAATCAATAAAATTAATTAAGTAATTTTGGGGAAAAAAATTACATGATCTATTTATTTCCTCAGGTTAGTGTTAAGTACATACAATTTAAGTATCAGAAATGATGGTTTTCCACAGAGATCAGATTTGTGGTTCTTGAATCGTTGTCCTTCATGTAATAGAAAACTCAACAGTGGTCCCTTATAAACTATGGGTTAAGGTTGTTATTGAGCATTGTCTTCAGAAACCTAGGTTTAAGGAAATAAACCAGCATAGTGATTAGATGGTGTATTCAACAAACTGAAGAGGCTATAATTTGGGGAGGGGTAGAAGAATATCTTCTTTAATGAAGATTTAAATGAAAACCACAGGCTTTCTTCTGGTTCTATTCATCTTGAACGTTCCTGAGCAATTTTAAAGATTATAAGAGGATGGAACATGAAATTATCTCAGATTAATAGTACCAAACTAATTCCTGTATCATAGCTGTCATTCATAGATTTACCATGTTAGTTGTGAGCTTTTATTTGTATTCCCCTTCTGGGTTACAAAACCACTTAACTAAATTCTGCATTTAAACTTATATTCAATTCCCTAAACTATTGAGAGACAAAACTTAAATGTAGATATTGTGTATCTCTTGGAAGTAGCATCTCACTTCACATTTATTGACCTAAGTTACTATGTTCTTTTCTTCTAGTCTTCTGTCCCTGAGGTTCTCTCTCTTGGGAGATGGTTTCCAATATTGATATGATAGTTTTTATACTATGAGGAAAACTAAATGACCTTCCTATACTATATCTGTCTGTCATTCACAATTTTCCAGAAGCCCTATGAAGTTAGCTGTGGGGTGTCATGTGACCTCTTTGGAACTGGTATTATAATATTTGAGAGTAATTTTAGTAGATATTCTGCAGTTTCAGAAAAAATTTAAAAGATTAATATGAGAGTTTTTCAAGCCATTATCTTGCCACATATTTATTTAACAACTTTTCTTTTGTAAGTCAGACCTAGTATCTAATAATTTATCTTCTGGCTAGTCAACTATGTTCTTTCTATTAATGAGGGTATTTTTGTTTCTTAGTTATGTCCTGTTGTTTAGGAAGAGTAGCCATGGCTTTGAATCATACCTTTCTACGTAAATACATTCTACTTGTAGATCCTTGATTACATATAGCTGTCACGGATTTGTAATACTGCAAGTCCATTAGGTCAAGACATTGAACTCTTCAGAACTTATTATGTTTGTCTCTGGAGCGTATATACTAGGGTATTGATAGCAGATAGTATCATATCAGTCCTAAATTCCATTTTAACATTTGACCCAAATGGATTAGGCCACGAACAATATGTTCACACGGATTTCTTAACCATTTTGTGTAGCACATTTGAAGCTTGCTATAATGAATGAAAAATCTAACAAAAGAAAACACAGATATTTATGTTTCTACCTGTCAAAGATAGTATGTCTTTGTAGATACAAGCTTTTTGGTGGTTACTAAATGTATTATGTTCAAATTGAAATTTTTTAATTGCCAGAGGGCATGTACACTCCCCAGAGAGAGAGAGAGAGAGAGAGAGAGAGAGAGAGAGAGGGAGAAAGCATCCCCAATGTGACATGTTCACGTTACAATCCCTCCTTTTCCATTTCTCCATCCTGTTGATTTTGAGGTGCACACACACATGCATCTGATAAGTGCTTCAAACTTCCAGGACCAGAATTTTAAACCAGGGTTGGCTATGTGGGATCCTACTCCCTTAATCGGTAGGCCACAGTATCAGCCCTCAAATTGAGTTTTATCTGTCACTTTCCTTTTTTTTTTCCCCCTTAATTATTTTATTGGGATCAGCAGATGACATAATGGTTACATTGCTGGACTCCCACATAGTCGATCGTGGGTTGAGGCCCAGACCCGGCAAATTGAAACTCACGCTGGGCACATGTACATGCATGCCCGAAATCCCGAGAGGAGACTGGAGGAGAAGGGATTGTGGACTGGCCATCCCCCTTGGGGCGAACTCCTTGTTTTCTGTCTCCCCGGTGAGCACACGCACCCTGTAGCAAAAGTCTGTCAACCAAAAAAAAAAATTTTTTTTTTATTAATTCATTCATTAATTTAAACCAGAGAGGGACAGAGTGAGAGAGAGAGGGAAAGTGAGAAAGCAGGCCGCCTGGTCTGGGACTCAAACCACAGTCAGCCATGTGGGAGTCTAGCACCCTGAACCACCACATCACCTGCTGGCCTCTCTGTCACTTTTCTTATTATGTACATTGTCACCTACTATCATCCTAAAATGTATTCCTCCTTATTTGACGTACTAGTTAGAATTTAGTGCCATCTTTTAACTTAGAGATTTTAGTGTCGGTGGTTTTGGTATTAGTTTCAGGGAACCAATAGTGAAGAAATGATGTTTTAAGGGACTTCCTATCTAAGTTTGTTCTACATCCATAATAAACATGTGTCTTGTATCCATAGTAATTTAAGGAACAGATGTGAAAAGTAAACTGTCACTTAATTTGTTCCTAAAGATTTTTACTTATCTAGGGCTGGCAGGTGGCATTGTGGTTAAAGGTACTGGAATCCCACATGGCCGACTGTGATTCGAGTCCTGTACCTGGGGCAGCTTGCTTTCTCGCTTTCCCTTTCTCTCTCTTCTCTCTAGTCAGATTAAAAATAATAATGATAATGATGATAATAATAATGGGGTCAGCAGGTGGCATCGTGGTTAAGGGCACTGGACTCCCACATGGCCAACCGAGTTCGAATCTCGGACCTGGTGACTTGCCTTCTCACTTTCCCCTCTCTTTCTCTCTCTCTCTGGTCAAATCAAAAATAAATAGAGGAGGCCAACAGGTGGTGTGGTGGTTGAGGAGCTGGACACCCACGTGGCTGACTACAGTTCAAGTCCCAAATCTGGCGGCTTGCTTTCTGAGACCAGCAGTTAGCATAATAGCTATGTCACTGGACTCCCATGTAGTCGACTGTGGTTCAAGTCCTGGACCCGGTGGCTTAAACTCACGCTGGGTGCATGCCCAAGATCCCGAGAGGAGAACAGAGAAGAAGGGATTGTGGCATGGCCATCCCCCCTGAGGGGTGATTTCTCGCTTTCTGTCTCTCTGATGAGCACACACACCCTATAGCAAAAAACTCTCAAAAAAAAAATAAATAAAAGTTAAAATATTTCTTTAAAAAATAATAACAAATGGAATTAAATAAATAAATAATGCTTTTAAAATATATATATTATCAATCATAAAATGGATTAATTTTAAAATATTTCAGCCAGAATTTCAGAATTTTCTACATAAGAACTTCCACAACTCCTAATAGTTGCCAACGTCTTCTTTCTTTTTTTTTTTTTTAAAGAATGCGTGTTTTTTTAGTTTAATTTTATTTATTTTAATTTAACCAGAGAGGGACAGATGGAGAGAGAAAGTGAGAAAGCAAGCTGCCAGGCCCAGGACTCGAACCATGGTTGACCACATGGGAGTCCAGCACCCTTAACCACCATGCCACCTGCCGGCACCAACAGTCTTATTTCTTTCTGATGACTCTTTCTAAAGAATAACCAGTCCTCAATTAAATCCTTCAGCTATATTAAGTTATCATAAAAGTCATGATGTATTTTTCTGTGCAAAAATGTGTTATGACTTTTCGACAGCCCAACATTTTATGAAATAAATTTTGTAAGATGAGGCATGAACTCAAAAAATTGTTACATAGCTGTGATGTGCTGAGGCTTTCAGAAGGTATAACTAAGTAACTGGGTTTTTGAATGACCCCCTTTGTATATATATCTATACCTGTTGAAAGCTTATTTTCTAAAGGGAAATTAATGTTAATTTTCTTTAATTTGGAGATTGCATATCATTGGTAAAGAAGGGTTACTTCACTTTGTAGTCTAAATAAATACTTTAGAAGGTGCCTGCTCACCAGAGAGAGCTGCAAGGGGAAAGGAGAGAGAAAGCACCCACTGGGGCACAATTATAGCACAATGCCTGCTCCTCCATTTTTCCATCTCCTTGGGGGACACAGGCCAGCTTGTTTTTCAAGCTGCCAGGGCTAGGATTTGAACTGTGGTCAGCCATATAAGATCTGGCTTCCTTACCCTCTACATCAGAGACTGGCCCATGACATGTTTTATTCTGTATTAAAGAGCAAGTCAGTGTTCATCAGGAGTTTACTTGTCTCATTATAATTTTAAATTGTTGCCCATGAAAGAGTTTTCTAAGATGACTATAATCTGTGTGTTAACATACCATATCAATTTATTATTGTAAATAGGATTAACATACTAATAAGTCATCATTTTTAACGTTGTGTGAACTATTTCCCAGAAAGAAAAATTTGATTTGTTTGGTAATACTTGAAACTTTTTGTATATTAGACTAACTTGTAGTTTTTACTTATGTATATTTGACTTTTTAATTATCTTTTTTCTTTTTTTCTTAAAGACGATACTTGTTGATGCCACTGTTATCATCCTCCTAGCAGAAGATAGTCCTACTGAGAAAATGAGCACTTTGATCATTCAGTCTTTGAACTTTAACCTTTGACTGGAAGTGACCTATAGGCAACGAAGACTACTTCCTTTCACTGCTTTTTACTCGTGTGCATTCTGGGTGCATGTTGATCGCTGGTTCAGTCCAGGCAACTGACATGCTTTTATTAGTCATACAGTATTAATGCAGGTGTCAGGAAATGTCAAATATAATTCCATTTTTTATTTTTATTTTTTTAAGCTTTTGGAGAAGTTCCAGGTCCTCATGTATTGTGCAATAACAATGACTTCCTTGGAGGTTTTGGAGCATTCATTGCTGGCAATGGACGTTGTAACCGAAAAAGTTTTCATTAACTCCTGCCACTCAATGATTAATGCATGATAGGGCCTATGAAATGAACTTATTGGTTATAATGGGATTATAAATAAAAGTGAGGGATCCAACATTACTTTAAACGTTGCCCCAACTGTTTATATTTGGATTCTATGCACTGTGATCTTAAGGTTAACGGCATGAATTAACATGCATCTTTAAAGGACTGTAATGAAAGATCATTGCGTATTTATTTAATTGTTTATATCTGCTGTCAAATTGTTTTGACATGGAAGGTTTTCAAGTAACATTGGCAGAGAGGTACAATATGTTATCCCTATGGTGAAAATAAATTCATTAGTTGTACATAGTTCCTCAATCTCTGAAGTAAAGGTATGAATAACATAGGATATGAATGGTTTAATCAAGGCTTTATTCTGGAAGTAAGAGAAATGGCAGTCATGATTAAATTGCGGCAGTCCGTAATTTGGGCTTCTTCTTCATACATTAAAAATTTTTTTCCAAGTAGATTACACTCTGTTACTTCCTGCTAGCCGTCAGCATGAGCCCTACTGCCTAAACATGATTTCATTTATTTATGTTTGGAAATTCATAAACATGTTTGTAATTTTGTTTCCTTTGTTATGTTTTAAGTCAAATTTGAATGTTACAATACTTTGAAAAACTGTCAAGTTTTTTCTTGTAGATTTTCTTTACTTGTAAGTATCATCTTGTACTTCAATCCTGTACCCTAAAATAAGAAATACATTTTTGACAGAGGCTTAATGTTTTAACAAAAGAGTGTGGACATTTTTATTTTAAAATTCAGGCAAAAGTACACTATAAAATAGTATGTTTGCTTATTTGTCTCACACAACATACCGTTTTTCCTGGAGGGATTTGTTTTATTTTCTTGTTGTGGAAAAGACTTTGCTTACAGGTAGATAAAATTTTTCTATAGAAAAAAACTGTTGAAAGGTCCAATTCTCAGTACCATGTAAGTTAATGATATTACAACTAGGTTCTCTTTTTAAAAAGTGATTAATGTATTTTATAAATTACCTTTTCACATATGCAAAATCTGTTTCTACTACAATGTTATTTTTACTAATGCCTTATTGTTGCACTCTTTTTGAAATATCCTGCAGTGAAATATTTGAATCAATTTGGGCTTAAAATTAGAAAGCCAGTTGGCTAAAAGGTTTGAAATGTATACCCCAGTAAAACCATCCAATCAGTAATTGGTTAAGAATATTTAAAAAATTGTTTTTAATCTCTGTATAGATAACATTTTGTAGCTTTGTACATGTTGTTAATTAAGGGCATATAATTTTACACTAAAAGTATAATTACTGAACTCAGGGGTGGGTAGACTTCAAAAATATGTCTGCTGTAGATATAACTTGAAAAAAAAAAATTAAAGCTATGGCCAGCTACCAAATTGTGGACACTGTTTATACTGCTGGTTAACAACTACCACTTCTAAAAACTAAACATTTTTGTTTTATCATGACTAGATATACCTAAGTTCTCATGGTGATCTCTCTCAGTTTTATTAGTTCACCTGTTTAATCAAGACAAAATCTTTGACTATCTCTTAGTTTTTACCACTTTTAATATGAAAATTGTAGCTGTAAATTATGTATTTTCATATTTTACTTAACTGCCCTAAACTACTGATTAGGTTGATCTTTTTCCAGGGGTTTAGGGAGAAATCTCTTGATATTGCTGGTCCTCTTACTAAAATCCTTTTATAAAGAAATGACCTGTGAGATTTATTCACCAAAGGAATTAATATGCCAGGTCAAAGATCAACAAACTATACTATGAATTAATAGGTCATATAGTCTCCATTACTTTTTTTATAACAGTATTTTAACATACCTCTATCTCTACCTATAGTTACCATTTAAAAAATGAAGCAGAGGAAAGTTGAAGAAAAATAATTTTGGTGCATTTTATGACTTAAAGGGAAGAAAATGAGATGAAATATTCTAAAGTATAGGAGTACCAACCATTCAAAATTCAGAATCAGAGTAACATTACTCCCTTGAATTTAGGAATTATCGAAAACTCCTTTGCACTTAGATTTAATTAAATTACTTTTATATGTAAGTTACATTATTAAAAGTCCTAAGACATTTATCTGAGTCATTGCTCTACAGAGGGCAATTAATGTCTTTGTAATAATAAAAAGAATATTTATTTGTAACACGCTGCAGAAACAAGAATACCAAGAAAATGTACATAGGAACTTGCTACTTCCCTCTTCGGCATTTCCTTCATTGGGCACTATTTGGTGCATAGGTCTGCAGAATTATACTCTCATATTTAGAAGATGTGTACTCTTATTTATTTATTTATTTATTTTAGGCCATTCTTCTGGTTTGCCAAATTCTCCTAAGTCAGTGATAGACACAATTCCTTATTTATGCATGCTTAGATCATGAACTTGGTACCCTCTCCCCAAATATTTTTCTTTTGTCAAGTAGGAATTAATGTCATAGGTTGTAGATTATTACAATTAGAGGATTGTTTTCAGTTTTTAAAAGAACTTTTTAAACATACATTTTATGGCTGTTCTCTTAGGATTAATACTCACTTCTAAAGTATTTACTTGTAATGAGTAATTCCTCCATTTAGCCAGCAGGGAGATAAAGCATTTTTTAATCCCCAGAAGAAAGTGCTGAAAATAGCTTTTATATAGTCAACAATTCAACTGGAGAAAAATCTTAATCTCTATCGTTTTGAGTAGATATAAACATATTTGGTATAAAATAACTAGGATAGTTTATTACTTTTTCTTTTTGAAATTTTAAATACATGCAGATATAAATGTCATTAGATTCCTGTGGTAGGTAATTTCTTTAGATTCTAAAACAGGTATCTAGTGACTGCTTAATTGTTCCCAGATTGCATCAAAGATGAATTGACAAATAATGGAAATGAATAGTGATATGAGAATGGTGTGTAACTACATATTACATGTTTCTGGTAATCAAGTCTTATTTTTAAAAAAGCATATTGTTTTTGAGAATTGAGATATTTAAAACTTGTTAAACTTCTTCCTAAAAATAGAAGAGAAGAGGAGGTACTGTGTGTTCAAAAATTTTTTTAAATAAAGAATTCAGTGTCACTAGTTCTAAGCCTTTATGGTTACTGCTGGTTATATTTCTTGATCTTACTTTATTAATTTTTCTACACATTTTAACTGCTTCAAATTTATAATTGTGTATGTAACTTGGTTTTCAAAATGAACTGAGGCTTTAACCATATTTTTTCTTTCTGTGGATTCATTATCCATCTACCACCACACTGTTCTGTGCGACACTAATGCCTTTCATGCTTTGCACGGTTGAGATTTGTGAAGACAGTGCCTGGTAATCGGCACCTACTCATGCCAGTCCTCTCTGCAGTCGGTTTCGTATGTTTTAAAATTTCTTCCTGACCATCTCTTCTCACAGATGTCTAGTATGTTGGTCTTTAGATATTTTCTAAGGTTTCTTTCACTGTTCCTACTTCCCTCATTTATTTTAGGTTAGGAAAACCAGAGAAGGAATACCATTAAAAGTACATTAGAGATTTTCTTTTTAATTTTATAAAGATTATTTTTCCTATAAGTTAAAAAAAAAACCATAAAATTTCTAATACCTAATTTTAGTTCATCAGTCAGTAAATAATTACTGAATAATTGGCTGCTTGATAAATGAACTATTAACTATAATTTAGTTCTTCATTACTAATCTGGAGGGGGTTTTCTTTACTTTTTGGATGGGGACTGTCCCAAAACCTAATTATTGCCCAGATGAAATAAATTATTTTTCCTGTTAAATTTCTAAGCCATCTTCAGGTGCAAAAATTTTTTGTAATTGGTAGAGGCTTTTGCTTTCTCAACATAAATTGTGCATTAATTTAAAGATAGACTTGTATCCATTATTATCGTTAGAGGTATGTGGGATTTAACCATGTCCTAACTTAGCTGTCTACTGAAAGTTGACATTATTGTTCTGATCATGATCTTGATATGTGATTTAACTTCAATTTTCAAATGTCAATACTAAGGATTGTATTAGGTGACAAATCACCAGAATGATTATATGGCTATCTTTTGTTGGTTTTTTTTTTAGGTTTTCACCGTGAGGTGCATACGCTTGCCAGAGAGAGAGTGAGAGAGGGGAAAAGTGAGAAATCACCCCCTCCCCCCCAGAGAGGATGGCCATACCACAGTCCCTTCTCCTCTTTGGATTTTGGGCACACACATGCATCTGGCATGATTTTTCAAGCCACTGGATCCAGGGCTCGAACGATAGAGTTAGCTCAAAAGGATGCCTTTGAGCCTTTAACCACCATGCCACCTGCTGGCCCTGGCTATCTTTTTTTTTTTTTAAAGAGAGATTTTTGCTATAGTGCACTCATCACAGAGACAGAGAAAGACAGAAAGTGAGAAATCATCCCCCCCCCGGGGTGGGGGAATGGCCACAATGAAATTCCCTTCTCCATTCTCCTCTTAGGATTTTGGACACAAACACACACACGCACACACACGCACCCATGCGCCTGGAATGAGTTTTAAGCCACAGGGTCTGGAACTTGAACCACATTCGACTATGTGGGAGTCCAGCAACGTGACCATTATGCATCCGCTGCTCCCCCTGGCTATCATTTTTTTTTTACATAACAATTTTTGTTAATAAAATAATATCTCAAGCTTTTTTAATATGTACAAGGAATGCCTGAACAGAAGCTAGTCTTTCTTAGCATACTTCAAGAACTCCAATATTACATA